ATTCATGTCCAGTATTTCTCTTTAATATCAAATTATAAGGCATTGGAAGGGAAAACTTGAATAAATTTAATTTTTGATATGTGATTCTGATGCAGTTTGGGACTACACATTTTTTTTAGGCAATTATTATTTGAGCAATTGGCATAATGCTTGTTCACATACATCCAAGCTTGTTTAAAGTTTGTCGATTTCAGCTATGTTTATTCAATTATAAATGACTACAGCTTGACACTGAAAACTTAAGTTCTGCATGGTCTAATAGGATAATCCCCATTTATCTAGATAACTATTTGTTGTTGTTATGTGTTGGTGAGTCAGTTCAAACTCATAGCGACCCTGTAGAACAGGGGTTGGGAACCATTTTTCTGCCAAAGGCCATTTGGATAACATCATTTGCGGACTACACAAAATAATTAACTTAAAAATTAGGCTGCTGTATTTGATCAAACATTTAATTATTGTTGCTGTTGAGTGCTGTCAAGCTGGTTTCTACTCAGAGCAATCATGTATAGGGTTTCTGAGGAGCATCTGGTGGGTTTGAACTGCCGACTTGTGGTTCACAGTCCAGTACTGATCCTACAGTACCACACCAGGACTCACCCTGAATGTGATGGCTGTAACTGTGCTTGCCTTGGCTAGATAAAAATATTCTGAGGGCCTTACATGGCCCATGGCTGGATGTTCCTCACCATCCCTGTAGAGGAGTAGCTGGTGAGTTTGAACCACCAACCTTGAGGCTCAAACCAACCTTGTTTGTTTTCATACATTTTGAGTTGTTTGGTACCTTTGAGTCAGTTTCAACTCATAGTGATCCTGTATATGGTTCTTAAGGAGGGACTATAGGCTTTGAACTTCCAATCTTGCAAGTAGCAGTGTAGTGCTTATCACACAGTATCACATATGCTATGCTATGCTATATAAAAACATATATAAAAGGGGACTTCAAAAAGTTAATGAAAAATTCCATCATCTTTCAATTTCATTTTCTGTGAACTTCTTGAAGCCCCCCTCCTATAGTATATTTGAAAGACTATTATGAATAACGGACTCCTAGTGTAACTCTATAGGATCAGCACTGGACTGTGAACCACAAGTTTGACAGTTCAAACCCAGCAGCTGTTCCTTGGAAACCCTATACAGGGTCAGTATGAGTTGGAGTCCACTCGATGGCACTTAACAACAATTATGAATAATATGGCACACTTAATTCAAATAAAATTGTGCCCTATTTGTACATTTTAAAGGACCTGCAGTTAATGATTTCACACTGAAGAACAAAGTTGGCAATGCTAAGATTACTTTTTCACCTTAGCAGCCCATAGTCACGTCCCCTTTGTCAGTTGCATATGCCTGAAACACTATTGTTTTGAGTCTTGTGCATGGTCAGGAAAATGTTTCCCTACTGAATAAGGACATAAGTATGACATGCATATATGAATGGACATTTGTAATAACTTAGTACCTCTGGTAGCGTAGTGGTTATGAATCGGGCTGCAAACCGCAAGGTCAGTATTTCAAAACTACCAGCTGCTCCGTGGGAGAAAGATGAGACTTTCTGCTCCTGTAAAGATTTACAGCCTCGGAAACCCTCTTCAGCGTCGCTATGGGTTGGAACCGACTCGAAGGCACTTAACAACAGCAGTACCCTGAGTAAGTGAAAACGTGGAGGGACATTTTAAGCTGGGTAATAGCTGTTAAGTATTGGCAATGACCTAAACTGAGGACTATCTTCTACTGGAAAGTTCCCATCAGAAACTACAGTGGTCAGCTCCTAGAGATCTAAAATAGTATTCACACAAAAAAAGCGATACTCATAACAGTGTTGTATGTTGTTCAAGACAATGAGTAATTTGTCCAGGATTGCTTTATGTTCAAGATATTCTTTATTTGCCAAATATTTATTGAGTGCTTAAGAAGTGTCAAGCATAGAATTAGGCAATAAGGTAAATGTCAATATACAAGTCTTATATCCATGTGTCATGGAGCATATAGTCCAGGGAGATTGCATGGCTTGATTGGGCATCTTCCTCAAAACAGTAAAAGCCTTGTTACAGACCTGTATTCCTAAATAATCATGGGCTTGGATGGTACAAGTGGTTTGCAGTTGACTCCTAATCTAAGATTGGTGGCTCATACCCATCCAGTGGTTCCATAGCAGAAAGATCTGGTGAACAGCTTCTATAAAGATTACAGTCAAGAATGCTCTATGGAGTAGTTCAGCTTTGTAATGTATGGCATTATCGTGAGCTGAAATCTACTCAATGGTAGCAAGGTGTGTTGGTTTGGGTTTGGGTTTTGGTAGTTGGCATAAAGTTATATGTCCTAACTCCACATGTAGTACATGTTAGCAGCATGTTTACAATGCTTGAGGCATTAGTAAGTACCCTGAGAGATTCAGCTTGTATATTACCACTAATAATGAGAGCTCCATACCTCTTAGTTTCAAGGGATTTAATTAACACATCCAGTTTGCACTGACCAACCTGGTTTTACTTCACCCTAGTGGTAATCTATTAAATAACTTTAGCCTCAGTGGACTCTGTCATATGACTTGACTTCCAGCTTCTCAGGACTCTTCTGACCCAATACCATTTTCATTCCTTAAGGGAATGAAGTTATTGCTGCTTCTAACTGTTAAGTTTGTGTATTAATGAGTGACGTGATAAAACACATAACAAAGCTACCAACTAAAAATTAGAGTTTTAATGATTTTTTAGGCCTACAGATATTAAATATCTTGACAGATTAAACGTTTGGACTTTTGTACTGATAGGCCAGCCTCCTCATGAGGCACATTAAAGAAATAAGAGCTGTATTTATTAATATTTGTTGTTAAGTGCTGTCGAGTCAGTTCCAACTTACAGCGACCCTGAATAGGGTTTCCAAGGAGCAGCTGGTGGGTTTGATCTGCCAACCTTTTGGTTCACTGTCTAGTGCTGAGCCTGTAGGGCCAATACCAGGAGTCTTTATTTATTAATAAGGGCACATTAAAAAAAAAAAAAGTTTACAATCAGACTTGATTCCATAGCCCTAAGCAGTACACACTGCACTAGTCTGACCCTCAGAATACTAAACCAGAGAACTCTAAAGCTACTCCATACTTCAAGTCCAAATATATAATCACATACTTTAGTCTACAATTTACTCATAAATCCCTGTGGTGCCTTGAATTTACTTAATGTGGCTTCTCTATCCAAAGTCTTCCTAATTCCCACTAAGTTATCTGGTGGGACCATTCAAATAGGGATTCTAAAGCTGGGATTAGTTAGTTTTGCCCTCCAGCTAGGCTTATAAGGATCCATCTCAGAAGCAGAGATGGAAGATCTTGGGATCATCAAGAAGGAAGAGTATGAGTAAAGTGTGAGATCCCTACCTAGAGAAACAGCAACTACAGAGGTAACAGCAAGAGGCGGTGGCATGGAGAGACTTTACTATGAACTGAGTAAAGCTGAGTGTTCACAGTCAGGAGACTCGTTTGAAGAAACGTGCCATTTGGGCATTCACAGACTCGGCCACAAGGCTAAGAGGTCAAAGACAAGAGTGAGGCGTGTCTGCAGTATGGCAGACAAGAAAGAGGTGTTCCTGACTGGAGAAGTGCTCCATCGTAAGGTGGTTTTGATCATAAATTTGTATCCTATTCACTTCCCTAATAAACCCCATAATTGTGAGTATTGTTATGAGTTCTGTATGGCCATTGCAATGGATTGTTGAACCCAGATGTGAAACAGAGAGCACTGTGGGAGGGAAGGCTGGTGTCAGAATAGGGTAAAGGCTGTCATTTGACCCCCCACTTTATGCTAATTGCCTTGGGTCCATTTTGAGTTTGATTCTTTCCCCCTTGTGAAGTCAGGGGATATCATACATGACTTCCACATGGTTTTTTGCAACCCTCACCAATTTCTCTCTAAAACTTACATTTTATAGCAGAATGACCTTATGTTCCCCAATTTTAATTTTAGATACTTTGTAACAATATTTAATGTCATCATTTTAAAATACCCATGCCTTAGTCTCTCTGTGAGGAGTGTATCATCCTGTCAAACTGAGACCTTGAATCCATTCAGGTATAAAAATGAACTTACCAAATTTAAGTTATCTTAATAATCCTCTTTTCCTTTAAAAACAAAGCACAACACAGCACAACTTTTTGCAATGGTGCCTTTATTGGTTTTGGTGATGGGTACCACTGCTTTGACCTCAAGTGAGTCTTTCACTCCTGTGTGCTGTAGGAATCATTAATTCTAGCCTCAAATCAGAACAACATCTGAGGCAGTTTATAATTGAGTAGGCATGCAAAGATCAAAGTAGTAAAAGTAAAAATAAATGACCCTCCTCAGGGAAAGGAAAATATTAGCTTAAAGTCAACCCTCTTTATGACAAAGAAACTCAAACTCTAGATTGAAACTTTTAAACACCTGGTCTTAATGTGTTTCTCCTTCACTGATGGTCAAAACCAGGAATTCTTAGTGGTAGATACATTTTGAATAAAAGATCGAATGGACTTATTTTGGGATTTATTTAGGAGCTAAATCACATTAACATCTCAGTTCTTAGTGTCCATATTAATTTTAGTATATGGCTGATGTTTAATAGGATCTTCATAAATCTCTACTCTGAAATATAGAATCACTCATTATTTCTGCTAAGGTGGACAACTCAGGAAACTGTAGCTCTGTGAAATTAAAAATTTTGTAATTAGTATCCAACTATTTTTTGAATTTTTTTCATTTTATCTACATGTTTCTTCTTCACTGACACCTTAACTAGAAATGCTCCTTTTATAGAGGAGATAGTTTCCACAAAATATCGAATGTGAGATTCATTTCATATGAAACTAGTTTGTCAAAAGTAACTAGTTTCTTGTTGATTGCATTTCTCACATTCATTGCTCAGTGTGGGAAATCAAAATAGACTTTGAGTAAGGAGCACCAACAGAAAACAAGGAACCACATTCTGCAACAGCAGCTTTCCTTTCCTGAAGAGGGCATGCTCCGGGGACCTCATTTGAAGGAGGCTCTCACCACCCTGCCCTTGATAGGCTGTGGAGGGCGCCAGTTCCCCACCAGGGGCACTGGAGGCTCATTTTCCGCGCTGGAGTAGATGCTCCGCAGTTTGGCCATCTGCAAGGGCAGGGGCACGGAGTCAGAAAGGCATTCGACATTCAGACCACACAGACACATCACAGATGCCCTGGAGGTGCTAACAGAAAGATGGGCCCAGAGATGTATTTAGGGTATGGCAGGAAAGTCATGTACCCTGCCTATCGCTTGAGGGGGATTCAATGAACAATTTCTATTCACCATTGCAGTTTCTATCACCAAGAGAGAGAGATCGTACAACAATTTAAAACTAATTTCCATACACACTATTTTCTGTGGATAAGCCTCTGAGTCAGAGGTTTGAACAAACCAGTCACTCCACAGAAGACAGATGTGACAGTCTACTCCATAAACATCGGTGGTGGTGGTGGTGGTGGTGGTGGTGAAGTGCCGTGGATTTGGTGCCAACTCATAGCCACCCTGGATAGGATTTCCGAGGCTATACATCTTTACGGGAGCGGAAAGGCTCATCTTTACTCCATGGAACTGCTGGTAGATTTGAACTGCTGACTTTACAGTTAACAACCCAACTTATAACCAACTACACTATAAGAGCTCCTTGGAAACCCTATGGGGAAGTTCTAGTCTATACAATAGGGTCACTATGAGTCAGAGTTTGTTTTTGATTTGGGTTTTTGTTTTTTTTTTTTTTGGTTTATGAAGTGTTAGAACTTCTCGATTTTCATAGTTTGACTATGAAGAGTTAGAAATTACTGATTTTTCAAACTAGACAAGCAAACACAACTGGTCTCTAGTACTCAGTCAGAAATATAATTTAGCTGTTATAAACATTTTTCTTTATAAACCATTTTATTCATTTTATACAGGATCACTATGACCTCTGGTCAAAACATTTCCCTGCCCCATGAATTCTGAAATAATTATTCTTGTTTGAAGGCTCAGTATGAACTACGCGCTGTATATAGGAGGTTGTTGTTATTAAGTGTAATCAAGTCAATTCCGACCCATAGCAACCCTGTATAGGGTTTCCAAGGAGAAGCTGGTGAGCTTGATTGAATCACCGACCTTGCAGTTCAAACAACTCTGCAGCCTGATGCATTACCCCACTGCGCCACACCAGGACTCCGTATATAGGAGGAGATGACAGTATTTTAACATTGTGCAAATAATAAGATTAAGTGGCTTCAACATACAGGTATATGGAATCAGTTTTTTTTAAAGTGCAGAAAGAAATTAAGAGTTATGCTACAATTTAAAGACTTATAACTTCAGAGGACGAGTGACTGGAGAGGGATATCATGTTTGATAAGGTAGAAGGTCAGAGAAAAAGAGGAACACCCCCAGTGAGATAGATTGGCAGTATGACAGCATCAATGTGGCAACAATTGTGAGGTTGGCCCAAGACCGGGCAGTGTTTCATTCTGTTGTTCATAGGGTCGCGATGATCCAGGACCGACTTGATGGCACCTAACAACTACTTCAGAGGATACAGATTTAGGAAATTCTTATTATTTAGGAAATTCTTATTAGTAACATTTTATTTCTGTATTAAAATGTTTTTAACTTTTCTCAAGAAAATTTCATCCTTCTTTCAAAATATTTGAATCAGTGAGAGACTGTTAAATCTGATCTTTTGATACAACTGGTATAAACACTAATGTTACTGTCATAGTCAAGTGAAGAGAGGTGCTCATAAGCTAAACTTACTATTAGTCATTATTGTTAAGTGTTGTGAAGTCAGTTCCAACTCATATCGACCCATCATAGGGTTTCCAAGGAGCGGATGGTGGTCTTGAATCACTGAGCTTGTGGTTAGCATTCAGCGCCATACCAGGACTGGAACAGACATTAATGATTGAGATTGGGAGTCACTGTGTTGTCCATTGGCTTTAATCTGTTCTTTTCCATGTCTCTATCTGCTTATTTTCTCCCAGTCTTTCCTTGAGAATATTGAAGGTGTGTGTTTAAATGAATAGTAAGAAAAGATACCTGAACAGACAGATTCAGAGAATTTAAAGGCAGACAAGGAGCCCTAGTGGCACCATGGGTTAAGCATTGGGCTGCTGAATGCAAAGTTGGTGGTTTAAATGAAGAGACGAAGTTTGGCCATCCTGGCCTCCAAGGAGCACTCTGGCTGCACTTCTTCCAACACAGATCTGTTGGTCCTTTTAGCAGCCAATGGCACTTTCAAGATTCTCCTCCAACACCAGAACTCAAAAGCATCAATTAGCCACCCTCTATAGGATTTCTGAAGGAGCTCTGGTAGCATAGTGGTTACGAATCGGGCTGCGAGCCTTGAGGCCAGCAGTTCAAAACTACCAGCCGCTCCATGGGAGAAAGATGAGGCATTCTGCTCCCATAAAGATTTACAGCCTTGGAAACCCTGTACAGAGTCGCTATAGGTCGGAACCGATTCGACGGCACTTAACAACAACAACAACATAGGATTTCTGAGGAGCGGCTGGTGAGTTTGAAACTCTGACCTTGATGTTCAAACCCACCTTGAAGTTCAGTACTTGCTTATCCTACAGCACCACACAAAGACCCCACATACAAACCTTATAAGGATGTCAAGTTACTTCCATTAGCACACCCTTCTCCTTCAGAGGGTTTTATTCACAATCCTAATTGCTAATGTAAACAACAAAAAATCCAAATCCACTGCCATCTGATCGATTCTCATTTCCTAACTTCTTGTTAAATGCCGTCGAGTCGGTTCCAACTCATAGTGACACTGTACAGAGTTTCCAAGGAGCAGCTGGTGGGTTTGAACTGCTGACATTGTGGTTAGCAGTCCAATGCTTATCCTATAATGCCACACCAGGATTCCATCTCCTGACTAAAGCTCAGTATTTTGTGAACCTCCAAATTAACAAAGGGGAGCACAGTGGCTCCACAGGATAAGCACTGGACTGGGGACCTCAAGGTCTTAAATTCAAGCCCACCAGCCACTCTGCAGAAGAAAAATGAGGTTTTCTGCTCCTAGAAAAGAGTTAATGCCTCAGAAACCTTATACAGAGTCGCTATGAGTTGAAACTGACTCCATAGCACTTAACAACAACAATAAACTAACAAAGACTATTGTATTCATTAAAGTTCTTAAGTATTTCTAGAGCATTGTTAAATAACTTGTGTTTATTCTGGTACTCTTTGGAAGTCCCATTTTGGAAAATGGAGCAGATTACTGGTAGTTATATAGGGCAAAGCAATCTATGCAGTCTCCAGTTGTACAGCCATACCATAAGCCTCCATTTGGCATCTTACAGTGCCAGCCAATGTACGTTTGTGTGTTCACAAGGTTCTGTGGCTGCTCCTTACCTGGTCAGAGCTCACGGTGATAGGCTCCTTAAGCAGGAGCCACACAATACACTCCTCACAGGGTGGTGTGGTGAAAGAACCGTGGTAACTCCAGTAGTCCCGGCAGGTGGGGAACAGGCAAGATGGGTCAAAATGGGTGAAGGGTGCCTCCTTACCCTGAGAGAGAGGGGAGAGAGCACAAGCATGGTGAGTAGGCCTATGCTCCCTAGCATGGACTCACCACTGTGGCCGTGGATTTCAAACACAGTTGACGAAGTAGAACTTTTTTTTTTTTTTTAAGTCTGTGTCTTTCAGAAATAATATGAAACAAATGTGTACGAATTACTAAGTGGAAAACTGGTTTGCTCTGTCAACCTTCACCCAGTTCACAATAAAAAGTTAAATAAAAATATATAGTGAGTGTTGTTGTTGGTAAGTGCCATCGAGTAGGTTCCAACTCACAGCATTTCTGTATAGGGTTTCCGAAAGCATAACACCTCATTTTTTTCCCATGGGGTGATTGATGGGCTAGAACCGTGAACCTTGTGGTTCACAGTCCAGTGCTTATCCTCTAGAGCCACTGTACACCCTATATTGAGTGTAGCACTGGAAATATTTATCTTCTTTGGTCATAAAATTAATAGCATTATACTAGAATAGTTCCAAAAGACAATTAAAATGTATTTGTTATTAGAGTCCGCTATTAAGACTCTATTTCCTGGATGGTCAAACAGTTAGGTGCTCAGCTGTTAACAGGCTGGATGTTCAAGTCAATCTACTTCTGAAAAACCAGCCACTGAAAACCTTATGGGGCACAGTTCTACTCTGACGCCTGGGGTCACCGAGAATCAGAAATCAAGGATTTTCCTGTTAAGATTTCAAGGATACAAACCTGGCCCAGGAGAGAAAGTGTAGCGCCAAGACTCCGAAGACTAAGCCTCAGTGAGCCTGACGTTGACTACCTCTGTGAGTATGTATGTGTGCATGAGGTAGATGTGTGTGTGTGAAAAGAGGGAGCACTCAATTTCTCAACTCTCACCTACTTCATTGGGAAAGTAACTATCTGGCAGGCTGACTGTAAAGATTGTTTTGGTTTTGTGAAACTGCTCTAAAAACAGTAAACAAATGTAACGGCATTAACTTTTTACATGTATACTTAGCATTCCCATCGAACTTACCAAATTTTCGGTGAAAGAAATACACGTGGAAATTTTAAAAAAATCAAAATGCTAGGAGGGAAGGTTTGGGGGTACGCGCGCACGTGTGTGTGTTTGTTTACCTTTGTCTTAATTTTGTCCAAGGCATCAAGAACCAGCTGGAACTCGCCTTTCTCACGCCCTATCTATAGGAAAGAAAATAGAAAACTTAGAATCATAATTTTCCCTTCTCCATAATTCAGAATTGTCTTCAAAGTTAATTTTGATCCATCCATCTGCAACTGGTGTTTATAAATCTGCCAGAATATCATGTTCTACTGAAAAACTGAAGTTAATTTTCTCCCTCAAATTTTAGGGTATCTATTTCTTGATCTAAACTTGGACTATAAGTCTCTAAAGTATGACACCACAAAATTATAAGTTGATTTTCATTTTCTGTCCTCGACCTTCCATGCGGTTATTCCATGGCTAATAGAATTAGAGCTAGAGTAGACTCTACATGTCCAAAACTAAGTTCATTGGTTTTCCTCTCAGACCCACTCCACTTCCTGTTATGTCCTTCTGTTAAAACACTGAAAATGAGCCAAAAGAGTCAGAACATAAAAGAAATGAGGTCATTGAAAAAGAAAGAAGCTAGATTTTCACCTCTGACTTAAAATCTATATTATGTTACTAGTAAACTCAAGTGTTAATAACACTAAGTCCTCTTTAAACCAGGGTTGGCTCGACAACACAGGCATGCCATGTGCTATCTTAGCCTGGATTCATAGGAGTGGTGGCCACCCTAAGCCGAAGGGGTGTCAAGCCAGGACGTTGGCATCACAGTAGTTTCCAGCATTGGCTTTTCTGGTTTCCATTGTGGTTGAAATGAAGTCTTAGGAAAGGATAAGGACCACATGCCTTCCTCACACTCATCAACACCACACATAAGCTCCCTCAATGGCTCTGTCCACATTTACCATCCACATTAACTCACACACACCCCCACATCGTAACAAAATTCAGAAGTGCTAGGGATTCTGGAGTATGGCAAAATAAGAGTACTTTTAAGGGAGGCGCAACTATTTCAAGGAATCCAGGGGTGGCACAAAGTTAAGAACTTAACTATTAGTCAAGAGGTTGTCTGTTGCAACCCACCTAGAGGTACCTTGGAAGAATGGTCTGGTTGTCTGCATCTGTAGGTCACATGCACACAAGTCAAAATCAACTTGACAGCAACCAACAGCAACAAAATAAAATAATTTTGAGTTGATCTTAATAGTAATAACACGACTCGTTGAAAGAATACTAAAATGTATACAGAGAGAGCAAAAGATATTTTTCCCCCTTAAGCAAAATGAGGGAATGAAATTCATACTATCTTAAGCACTGATAGGGAACTAACTTTTGAAAGAGAAAGAAAGGTCAATGTGTACCTTACCTTCAGAAAAATGCCAACCACAGCTATTCCATCAGGCTGCTTCAGAGCTTCTCCAAAAGTGTTATACTTTGGATTCCAGTGAACCAAATGCAGCTGAAACCATAGGATGCAAGTTATAAGAAAAATTCTTGGAACGAGGGACTTATCCACAATAAACCCAATGATTGTCTAAAGTTGCTGAACACACTGAAAGAAGAGGTAAGTTTTAAATATTAACAGGTAGCATTTTGGTGACATTTGTAATGGTTAAAATATTTTTTAAAAAGAAAATCCCAAGCCCACTGCCACTGAATCATTAAGACCCTGTGTAGGGTTTTTGAGGCTATAAATCTTCACAGGGTTTCTCCCACAGAGTGACTGGTAGATCTGAACTGCTGACCTTGTGGTTAGCAGTCCACTGCTTATCCTACAGCGCCACCAGGGCTCCTTTCAAATCAAAGGCACAGAGAATTATGATAAATAAATTTGTAGCTTTATAATAATTTATAAAACTATACTTTTCTTATACCTATTCAAAATATTTTAGTTTTGTATACTACTACTACTTCTTTTTGTAACACAAATAGTGAAATGTAGAGCTATAAATGGGAAGCTGCTAACCTCCTGAAGTCACAATTAACAGGAACGTCAGGGAAGAAAACTAAAGGGGGGAATTCTTAGACACATTCGTATCTACCTCCTTTCAGTATTCATGCTCTAGAACCCGGTGGCACTTATATTTTCATTTAGAACAAGAGCACTAGTGAAAATAGTCACATTTCCCACATTGAGTTATACAAAGTAGCAAGAGAATACAACAGTTCACAACAGCTAAAAATAGTTTATTCAAGATAAAGAGGAAAAGTAAACAAATCCCCCTTGCAAAGGTAAAGCTACAAAACAATACCCACATCTTTAAGAAATACTCTAAACTTTCCCCATTTGTAGGGAGAACACCTAGGGGGTGTCTTCAATAATTTATTTATTCTACCACTGGCTCTTTAGTTGACTGTAAGAAAGTGGAAAGATCACAGTGAAGTGCTTTGGGTCTCCTTTTGTTGTTGTTGAGTGTCATGGAGTCACTTCTGACTCACAGCATCTCTGTATAAGGTTTCTGAGGAGCAGCTGACTGTTTGAACCACCAACCTTGCAATCGAGTACTTGTCCTACAGAGCCACCTCAGGACTTCGTTGGGTCTCTTGGAGTTGACTTAAACCAACAAGTAAATATCCTAATGATTCTTCTGCAGAGCCCAAAAGGTGCAGGGGTTAAGCATTCGGCCACAAACTGAGAGGGAGAGAGATATGGCAGTCTGCTTCTGCAAAAATGACCGCCTTGGAAACCCTACGGGTCAGGTCTTTTTTGGCTATACAAGTCAGAACCAACTCCACAACACTGGGATTAATGTTTCCAGCAAGAGACCGTCCACATGTGGTGCCAGGTTCCCAAAGCAGTGCTCTTTGGAAAATTGTGAGGTAGAAGGAAATGACCTTCGCAGTCAGGGCATTTGCTTATAATGCCCAGTTACAGGCTTGGTTTTGTAAAGACAGCATGATTGTCTCAGTCCCTGTGAAAACTTTCCTTTCAAATCATTGCCTTAGCCTGAGCTACAAACCATGCTTTTCTTTAAAGCTTTAACTGAGCAGTTTACACCCATAGGACTGTGAAGTCTTTCTCCACAACGTAGAATACCAGGTTTAGCATTTTGACTTTGTTATGAAACCTTTCTGTGCCTCAATTTCCTCATTTGTTACCTCTCAGCGTGTCTGAGAGGATCAAGTGAGTTAACACACGTAAGCATTTAGGAAATGGTAGCTATCCTTGCCTTTGCAGTTCCATTCAGGACTCTGCCCTTTTCTATTAAAGCTACTATCCAATTTCTTAATATAGCCCTGGAAGTCTTCATGCATGATGCTAACGCACTTGTACTTTCTTAACTGGCTAGCCTAGAATATTTGACAGTTTCAATTTATGCTAAAACTAAACAAGTTAAACAATTGCTGTAGAATCTATTCTCAAACTCATAGTGACTCCATCATGTGTGTCAGAAGATAATTTTGTCATAGGGTTTTCATTGGCTGATTTTCCTGAACTAGATCACAAATCTTTCTTCCAAGGCACCTCCGGAGGGGCTTTGTACTTCCAACCTTTTGGATAGCAGCCAAGCACATTAACCACTTGTACCGCCCGGGAAGTCCCTGCTAAAATGACTACAGCTTTTTCTACAACCATAGGCTTGTGAGGGGAAAGCGGTGGGTGCTGTTTTGCTACTGTGGCTGTTACTTTTCAGTTTTCACTTTATGGGATTCATGGCAGCAGTTCTGCCTACCTCAGCTGCATACTTGACTCCATCCACAGTGTGCTCAGAGCCATGATCATCGGAGGAACCCCAGTGAAGATGAAACTGGCGAAGGCGATAGGGTCCAGTGAGGGGGCCACCTCTTAGCACTGTGATTCAGAGAAGCCACGTCAACAGTGAACTCATGAATTTTCATACATAGTCTACCTTTAAACAAATGCTATTACAGCCAAGTCTGTGTTGCCATTCCCATTCCCAAGCACACTGGTCTCCTCAAAAAATGAAGGCTTGTGATGGGTCAATAAATATTTTCTTTCTTTTCTGTCTCTGTTTGGTTTGCTTCCTTAGTTACTTTACAAATATCAGTTTAACAGCTATGAACACAAAATTAAAGTAACAGGACAATAAGAGTACACATACAACCGAAGAGCACATCAGTAATGTAGTGCAGTGGAAAGAATGTGACAGATTTAGGTTCCAATCCCGACGTGACTCCTTGCTAGCTGTATGATCTCAGACAAGTTGCTAAACTACTCTGAACCTTTTCCACATCTCTTGTTGTTGTTAAGTGTTGTCAAGTCGGTTCTAACTCATAGTGGCTCTGGCTTCCGAGGAGCGAGGAGCAGCTGGTGAGCTTTAACCACTGACCTTGCAGTTCAAACTGACCTTGTGGTCCAGTGTTTATCTTACAGCATCACACCAGGACTCCATTCACATCTCTAAAAGAGTGATAATAATGCCAACCTTTCAGAACTGCTGTTGAGGATTAAATGAGATTATGCACTTTAAAGTCCCCACCAGAGTGTCCAGCAATCACTTAGCAAATGTAAATTCCTTCTCTAGGTCTTGCTTCCAGAAAGACTACAAGCAGTAACTTTCATCCAAACCCAGAGTAGACTTTGTCTAATCAAATGAGATGAAATGGAAAACGGAAAGATTTCCCAGGAAATCAGTCGATGTGAATCAGCTAACTTAGGGAATTCTTGGTAGCATCAAGTTGGAATTGTTTCAATTTACAACTTAAATTGAAGGTGCCTCAGCCCCTCACTTAACTTGGTTTCAATTTACTCAGCCTGTGGAGACTGAGTATCTTCCCAAGAACACTAGTAAACTATGCGGAAACACTAGCATGAAAATTTAACAATACGAACTAGGTCAAAATAGAATTCGTAGGGTAACGACTCTAGAAAGGATAAACAAAATATTGGGTGGAAGTGGTCCAGCGAAACTATAGTGTAGGTTCTAGCCTGTATGAGCTTGGCCAGGTAGAAATGAGAAATACTGATATAATGCACTTTTTCTGTCCAACAAACCATATGACATTGCTACTACTCAAACATTTTTGTCTACAAATGTGACATTTTCATGTGGTTCATTCTAACACATACTGTTTCACTTTGTTGTTCTGTTTCCATCAAATTGGAGCTAATTTAAATGTAGAAGAACAGATAGCAGTATGATCTCATTGTATAAGAAAATGTGCATTTTTATCATAGGCCTACCTGGAAACTTCCTGTTAGGTAGGAATTATGATTTGATTACTCTTTACTACAACATCATTAAGAATATTCACTTATGTACATCAATAATTATAATGGTAAATTTAACTTTATTATAAATAGGAGTTTATTGGTGACTATATAAAACTGTATTATTGTATATTAAGCACCAGCATATGAAAGAAAAATGATTTCTCATTTATAGTGAAATAAAACTTTTGTTTTAGTTTTCTGTTATTTCACTATTTTGCCTAATGTCATTGTTGGGTTGCTAAATGCCATCAACATAGTGACATTGTATATGGTTTCCAAGGAGCAGTTGGTAGATTGAATCAACCTTGTGGTTAGCAGTCCAGGGCTTATCCTATAGTGCCACACCAATAATTGCTGTTGTTGTTAAGTACCGTCGAGTCGATTCAGACCCATAGCAACCCTGTATAGGATTTCCGAGGAGCAGCAGGTGAGCTTGAACCACCGACTTGCAGTTCAAATGGCTTTGCAGTCTGGCGCATTAACCCACAGTGCCACACCAGGACTCCACACCAATAACATAGTACTTAGTTGTTATATTGTTTTCAACATAGAATGTTCCAGTTTCACAGACAGACATGCTACTCAAGAAAATTATCAGATACTTGAAAAAATACTTAGCAACTGAATCAGATGAAAATTGCTATATTTGGGGGAAAATAATGGGGTTGTAACATAGAAGTCATCTTTAACCATACAATGGTTCTATTATTTCTTCTGTATTGGCCCCGTTCCAGATTAAAGGAAGAAATGCCTACTTTGTTTCTTTGCTATGCTCCTTGCTTTGTAAAATAGATTCTGCTACACTTGAGAATCAGAGTCTGGCTCTTCAGACCTTGGAAAGAAGCACAAGAACCCTCCTCAGCAGTAGACTCTTACAGCCTGAAGAATATTCAAGTGGATTCATTGCCATCACTGCCCTACCCATGTTCCCTTTCAAGAATGCATTGTCAACTATTTGCTTGGGCATGGAACCATTTTGTAGCAGCAAACTGCCCAAGGCTGGAGGGTAAGACATTACTCTCAGTACATAAATATAATTCACAACTAAAACAAAGTCAAATGTCATCTCAATTTCAGAGATGAATTGTCCCCAGTACTGTGTGATAAATCATATTTTTCCAATATGTGCATTGGACATATCCACATTGGACGTATCCTCTACCTATGTGTCATACTTACTTGATCTATCGTAAGTGTCATCAAACACGACCCTGCAGGTCTTCCCGTTGTTCAGTATGCTCTTGGCAGAGCCAGGGTCATAAGATGCCGACCATGACTGCAGAGAAGGATCATGCTTGATGTCTTTGGTATGCAGCTCAATGGGAGACTGGTTGTCTCCCTTGGCAATCGGGTAAAGTTCATGCCAGTGGTCAGGACCTAGAGACCAAAGTTGAGTGGATTTATTTGATTGACTAAATCAGCAAAATAGACAGAGACTAGACAATAATTAAGGAGCTCTGGTAGCATAGTGGTTATGAATCGCAAGGTCAGCAGTTCGAAACTACCAGCTGCTCCGCGAGACAAAGATGAGGCGTTCTGCTCCCGTAAAGATTAACAGCCTCTGAAACCTTGTGCAGGGTCACTATGAGTCAGAACTGACTCCACGGTACTTAATAACAACAACAAAGACAAAAATTATAAAAATGTTTTTGGTTTCATATTAGACAGTACAGGCCTAGCTTTTAAGATCTGTTTAGAGCTGCTTTTGTAGCCTACCTGGAGACTATATATAACTTGGTGTATTCCTTATGTCTAGCTCAAGAATTTAACACCAAAGACATACTTTCAAAATATTTTATATGACTTCATCACATTATTTTCAACCAATGTTACTATCATACAGCTGGGACAAAAGTAACACTGACCACATACGTTTGTTTTTGCATCATTTTGTTGTTTTCTGAGCATTCTTACACTCTTTACTCATAGATAGGCAGAAGCCTTAGATGGAGCAGTTTTTATTCCAACTCCAGGTGAGTGCCCTGCCCAGCTGTTACAGAGTTAAGTGACCATCAGAATTGGAAATCTGGTTGTCTGGCTTTCCAGTCCGAGGCAATGTGACCTTGGGCCAGCTACCAAACCTCTCTGGGCTTGAGATTGTTTCGCTTGAAATAATAACAGTAGGTAGAACTAAGTGAAATGAAGATAAAAGGGTATGCAGTGTTTGGAACTTACAAGCGCACGTTACTTCCCATCCACTCCCTACGCCTACGTTTTTATTCTTTACTCCGTAGAGTTACCCACTCTGTGTGGCCAGTGGGAGGCAGGGTAGGCGGGGGAGAGGGGGAGGGACCTCTAGTACCTGTCTATGCCCTGAGTCGCAGCTACCCACACTCACCATTGTGGCTGGCGTAGCCCCACTCCTTGGCCATCGTTGCTCTGGATGCCCGACGGCTCCTGCCTTCTCTGCGCGGCGTGGTGCAGAGTCCCCTCCAGTCAACGCCTTTTATATAGGTCCTCCAGAACACTGCACGGCCTTATTAGGTCAGGGAGGGTGGGGCGGGGGGCTCAACTGG